GTATGGAAAGAGTGAAGAAAAACAAAACAAGGGTTTTCCATCCACTACGTTGCCCTTTGCCAATGTATCTACTGGTGCACCATGTCAACCCTCTTACCAGTCAGCATGAGAACAGTGCCCACAGACAGCAGGATGAAGCCCACCAGGGAGATGACGCTCTTGAACAGCACCTCAAATTGCTGGGCATTGAGCTTGCTGCGTAGGTAGTCCACAAAGGCATGGATCTGGCACAAGCCGAACACACCGAAGGCTGCCATGTGCTCTGATGACTGCACCGGCTGGTACATGAGAGAAGATGGAGAGGGAGGTGAGCTAGTTGTAGCAGAACAGAGTGACACAGGACTTCACTCCTTTGGCCTGATAACAATACTATGACTTTGCGATTCCGACCCGACTAGAGTACCTCACGTGACATTAGGTAGTACTTTTTCGACTTACCTGGAAACCAACAAAAGAGATCTGCATGGAGAGGATGGTGCCCAGGCAGTAGACTGTGCAGTAAGCCACGTAGATGCGGTGAGAGAAACGGCCTGTGAGCATCAGAACCAGGACGTGGAGGGGGATAAGGTTGATCAGGAACACGTAGCCACCCCAGGAAGAAACCTAGATACACACAAACACCTTATCAAGACCTCAGTAAAACAGGTAATTTAGTAAAACATGCACTTTTTTAGATCTACTTACCATGTAGAAGTAGGCCAGTGCGCATATGGACGACCAGTACACTGACCCTGTTTTGACAGCCTTAATCCACATGTAATAGGTCAACAGCATGCAGAAGATGGCAATACCTGAATAAGATAGCACAGAGGGATTTCATTAACATTCTTCTGGTGATATTATCTTTAAATAACATTGCTATACATATCAGGTGTATACCTTCATTATCGTAGGAGCCAGCAACAGAACGAGAGATATAACCTGGCACCACTGCGATCATGGCGGCAGCCAGGAGCCCAGCACCTGCATCCTACACAGACAATATATATTTAGTGGCAATAGGGTGTACAGTCATACTTGTGGGGATCACCACAAAGTATATTTAACTCATGCACAACCTTCTAAAGAGGCACTACAATGAGATTTCCCATGAAGAGCTGCAGCTGTAGTTACTAAGTTGTGATATATGCATTACTAAAAAGAAAAAAAGCGGGATAAGTTACACCTTAACAACTAAATAGTCATGCATGTAAATCATAAAATGCCAGAATTATACTCACTAATGGTTGAACAGCAGTTTTTCTGCCACACAGCATCCCTTTTTCATCAATTGCAACTATTTTGCAACACAGTAATCCAGTAGAAACCTAATTATTGATATCATATTTCAATATCGATCATGCCAGCCAGAAAACTAATGGGCGATGGAACTCCATCTTTGATCATTAATTTGGCACTTGTCTCATGTTAGGACTGTCAAAACTAGTTGCCCCAAGTAATTGTGGTGCAACCAATTAGTAGCTGATTTAGTAACAAACTAACTATAGTTACTGAGCCTCTAGTGTCGACCTTACACCCTAACTTAGGAGAGAATTTACACATAGTTGGTGCAACCCACTGGTTTACTCGTCTGAAGGATCCTGTGAGTGTGTGAGTCCATTCTGGATCAAAAGCTCTCTTTTTGCTGTCTACTTTGCTCTTTTTAGAGCACAGCATGTGAAATTACTTTTCTTTGACTCGCTTAATTCTCCGACTGTCTCTCATCTCGTCTCCCCTGTGTCACATAAGCTGTGTGTGTATGTCACTCAGCAGAAATGCAATGCACAGATTTGATTGGCTGAGTAGCCAGTCACGTGGGATGAGTCTGGGCCAATAAACAAGTGCTGTAAAGGCTACAAAAACTGCACCAGTTAAAATCCAAATGCTCCGGCATGCTACAATGACTTCTACAGCCTAGCGTTTACCAGGCAGAGAGAAGGAGGGAAGGATCTAGGATCTCTGGAGCTTACGACAAGAAACAAAACGTAAGGATATCTCTGCTGCTTTGATTTTGAACCTTCTTTTTCTTTTTTAAAGCAGTCTCTTCAAGTCCCTGAATTTGTGCAAGTTAAACTGATGGAGTGCCACTTAAAAGAAATATTATTATTTATAACCTAATATAAAATAGTTTGATGTATTTTATTATGTGTTTTTACCTTCAACTCCTTGGTGAAGTGGTAGGTCACTATGGCAGTGAAGGAAGAGAACAAGGGAGCCAGGAAGACACAGACATTACGGATGTCAATGGTGATGTGGAAAAAATGTAGGACGTGGTACAGGACGGCAGACGTGATCATCAGTCCTGGTGACAGAGGAGAGAGGGAGAAAAGACGTGAGGTGTGAAAGCAGACTTTCTACATGAAGCCCATTGACATCTCTTCAGAACCGTACACACTTGAAATCTACTTGTACTGCTGCTTTCATTTTCTCTGATTCCTACCTGGATAAATGGTGCCACCAATGATCCTCCCCAGAGGATACCATGCCCTGTCATCAAACCAGTTGTGAAACTTATAAAATCCTTCTTCAGCCAGGAAGCGGGTCGTACGGTAGTTGAAGTACCTGGAGATGAGAGTGAAGGTGAAGGTGAGACAGTTCTTTACAGAGGAAAATCTATTACCAATGGTTGGAGATGACCATGACAGCAGTGGCACTTACGGATCAAACTCATGGATGACGCTTTCAAACCTCAAGACGGAAAAGAGTCTGGTGGAGAATGCTGAAGAGAAAAAGTACATGGATCAATGCTTTACATGTGTTCATAGGATTCTGGAGGCCATGCTGCTGTGTGTGGGAAGAAGAGCACTCACAGAGGACAGCGGCCATAGACAGGATAAGCAGCTTCAGCAGTGTGTCCTGTTTCTCATAGGACAAACGCAGGAAGCCCAGCTTGGTCATTTTGGTGAGGTTAGGGACAGCTCACCGTACTACCTAATGCGAGAAAGACAGGCACTGTGAGGCAAAAAACCAACAGGAGCTGTGAGAGTAAAAGAGGTCCAAACAGGAGGAATGTGGCCACAAGTCCAACACTGCCTAATGATAGAAGATTTATATTTAGAAAATCCTGCAAAATAAGAACATCTTTTCATGGGCAGGGTTTAAGAAGCCAGACACTCAGAAGAAAAAGGAAAAAAAAAAAAGTCTTTTAGAGTCAACTGATAGGTCCAGCCCAACCAGATAAGGCCACGCACTGCGATGTGGCGTCAGGAACCAGGAAGCACCCACGATGGAAGACTTCTGCAGGGATTTGTGCCTGTCTTCTTCTCTTTTTACATCTTGCAACCAAAGTTTTTCCAAAGTGAAAACACAAACAACAGAGTTCTAATTAATGCTAACTCTTAAGGCAGTACTATCAGAGCGAGGCTTAAGTTACAAGTACTGACAGCTAGCTAACCAACCTTTCCAACATCACAGAGCAAGGGAATGAACAGCTGCACATATGGTAACTAGTTAGTTATTAACACGCGTCATGTGCACACTTTAAACGAATGCACGCATTGATGGAGATTAGTCAGCATCAGGCCGGCGAGTGTTGATGATCCATCCAGGTAAAAGTATGAGCAGCTAGCTAGGCTAACCTGCTAGCTGCTGTATAATGAACACCCTAGCCCCGCACCTCTTCTCTGACTTATGCTGAAAACATGAGTGACTCCTTCCCAAATGGCAGCAGGACAACAGCCTGAAATAAAAATTGTTGCTCCTAAATGAGCAGAAAGGTTTAATATTTGATGTTGAGTAAGACTCACCCGCTCCGCTCCTGTTACTCATACACTATTCACACACAACCTTCACTGAGACCTGAACCCGCCCCAACCCCGCCACGGGGCGCGTTTATTGGTTGAGCGTCAGTCAATAGTAATCCCATTGAAATCTGATTGGCTCTTTAGCTGTCAATCAAATTTGGTTCCCTACCTTGCCGCTGTAGTGTAGTGACGTGTCCTTAGTGAGGAAAGGAAACGTATCGCCCCCTACTGGTGTAAAACTATCAGGACTATATATTCAAAGCCAGAGACGGTAGGTATTAACAGTTAACAACTACATGAAATTCTAACATTAACAGCTGGTTCCATAGTATAAAATCAGTAATCTATCATCTAGAGCAGTGGTTTTAAAACTAGGGCCAACAGGGGCCCTTGAGTGGGTCATAGGGGGTCCTCAGCAGGAGGAATATACTATTTTAACTTCTACCTCACTTTTTGTAAGTTGAAACAAAGAAAGAAAAGGTTGGCTGTTTTTATTGATAGTAATATTTATATTATAGTGATCTTAGTTTGATCAGTCTTTGACTATGAAGACCGTTCATACCTAAGGGACCTGGGAGCCCCAGGGGTCCTTAAGGAGCCACCCAGAAAAAATATGATTTTACCTCTACTATTATTTAATTGACGGGAAGTTGAATTATAATAACTTCTGTTCATAGGTTTCCCAATTCTGTCAATTACGGCCAATCTACAGTATAGATAGTTATGGAATATCAGACTGGGATCCCCAATACTACATTTTATCAAAAATGTTTTGGAAATGTAAGAAGCTACACCCACATATGTTGCTCAAAGTAAATTATGAGTTGAGAAAAATAATAATATACTTTTGTTGCCTCTTCATACCTGTTAATTTATAAAACAATTACTTTGTGCTGTCTGTTTCTTCCTGGGTTCATATCATTGACAGTATGTTCATATCAGATGGCTGTGACCAGGAGCCAGGCAGTATGCCCGCTTCTCAAGTGACCCCAATAAATTACTTTCTCACAGGTTTACTGCTCTGACATACAGAACTTACTATATGTTGTGGATTGCATACCCACAATATCTGCTTATTTCAACCTTGCTCTATTATTGGATGGTACACATTTGTTAGAAATCAGTGTTAAGTGTAGAATAACATTCTACATTTTCTCTGCAGTTTAAACATTAATCCATGTTTGTGTTTTAATAGCTCTCAATCTATCTTCACTGTCGAGTTTGATGCCCTGCCTTGTCCTCACCATGGTAGCAAAACCCCAAACACAGTGATCAAAATATTGAATACTGACCAATTTTATTGAAATTAGACGTATTACTTTTACAAAATCTCACTCACATATATCAGTCCACACAAACACTATGCTCCTCTTACAATTGCACACCGTTTCAAAATCACAACCCCTCCCCAGGGCCATGAGCTGTGATGTGTGAGAGAGAGGTTGGTGACTGGGTCACTGCATGGTGGCGGGCTTGTTGAACATTCAGGATGTATTAACATTATATATACAGCACAAAAACCAGCCGATGATCTGTTTTCGCTTCAGCTCTCTGGGGGGAAACTAGAGCAAGCGTGTCAAGGCTGATCACCCATTTCTTAAGATATAAAGACTATGTGACTCCTTCCTTTATTATAGAGCTTAGCATTGCAGTGGTTGGTGTGAAATAAACAAAACAGAGATGCAGCAGTTTGGCAGTGTCATTTCACCTATCACCTACTAAATTCACACAGACTGAAAACGCTTAGGCAGCTTTTTCCTTTGCTGGTGTCGCCTCGTGATTTGCAACATCTACATCTCATCAGACAGTGCAGAGAAATTTTACTGTGGCATGAGAGACTCGAGCAAATCTTGAGTCAACACACAAGAGTGACTTTGTTATTTGGTTTCCATTAATAAAGGTCACCAATCCATTCTATAGCAGCTCTTGAACCGATTTGTATATTCTACGAAAAACAAAGCTCTTACAAGATAAAAAAGCCTCCCTTTTTAACTATATGTTATTCCCAGAACTGCTAGGAAACCTTCGTTCAACAGAGAAACGTATCGGTGTGCAAGAAAGCATTCAATCTGTGAGGAAGGAATGTGACTTGCAACATCAAGAAAACATGTAGTGTAGGGAAAACTGACTGTGCTTTGCTTCTAAATGCAAACAAGGCCCTTCAAGGTTAAAAACCATCCTTCTTTAGTCACAACTTTGTTTAAACATATCAAAAACTACATGCCTTCTTGTGCTGTCATTTATTAAAGGAGAGTCACTCAAATGGCACATTATACAAAAAAAAAAATACAATAAAAGAAAATTCACAAAAGAAGTCGAGAGCTGAGTATATAATGTGTTTTGAGTGTGAGGCACCGGGCAGTCGATTTTTGTGTCACACTGAAAATGTGTCTGGGGGGGTGGTGCCGCAAAATGAGGAACCAGAGGGCCCGAGATTAGATAAAAACATGTAAACCCTTTGTCCTAAACCGCACACCATCTTCATTAAGGGGAACCACACTGAGTGAAGTCACTCATCAACTGTTTTTCTGTCTCCTTCAAGTGATCCATCACTGGGTGGGCAGAGGTCTCTGGCGGGTCGGGGAGGTGTGGGGGGACGACAGCCTCTCTGAGGAGGTGGACGACGTCAGGGAGGACTGCAGGTGGACCGTCTTGTGGAAAAGCTTGTTGCTGATCAGCACAACCAGGGAGAAGAGACGCAGCTGGAAGTGGCTGAAAGAGTGGAAAACACAAATGTGATGAGTGACGTGCGTTTAAAGAAACTATTTGTAAAGAGAAATTGTAGTCTTTTATTTCACACTTACTACAGCTTTGTTGGCGTCTTGGCCTCATTAGCGCTGATGATGAACAAAGGGAAGAGGATGGAGAACAAGCAGCCACTAAGTAGAAAAGAAAGAACAAAAAACATTACACGCAGTAAGAACAGTAATAGATAACTCAGCCCACAGAGAACATGAGGTCTGTTTCCATTGTGCCCTCTTGCTCTTGCGTGTTGTAGTATTTTGGAAATATTCCACATTTTACCAGTGTCTTAGCTAGTGTCTCTAAAGCAGTAGTTCTCAACCTTTTTGGTATCAAGGACCCCCAAATTGATACATATCCGGCTGCAGACCCGTAGATGGTGACATGTAGTCTAAGCAATCCTAACTGTATCAGGGTTTCTGCAGTTTTAAAGAGATTACATTTAAGACCATTGTTAATGCAATTTAAGATCTATTTTACGTCCAGGTTGCCAAAAAGTATGAAGGATATGAAGCAAAAACAGTATTGGTCCCATGTTGGTTGTATTTTGTAGTTGTTATACAGCATGATCAATACACATTTTTCCCAAACACATTTAAAAGTGAGACTAAAAAATGCCAGTAAATGTTAACTTAATGAATCCAATCCATTTAAGACCTGTCAGAATCATACTAAAGACATTTTAAGGCCTAACATTCAGATTGAATTTTAGACTGTTTAAGACTCTGCAATGATAATGTGTAAAAGCCATCAATCTGATCAAGAACTTGAAGTCTTACCTGATGATGTATGAGGAGGGCAGGGCGGTCAGCAGAGCCATTGGCAAACCAAAGCCGAAGTAATAGGGCCAGTTTCTCTCAATATTGGACAGCCGTTGGTGCATCTCAATGCCTTAAACACCAACAGTTTTGTTTGAGTTCACCATCATCATCAACCCAGGAGATTTATTTTGGTTGTAGAATGTAATGTGTGTATCTCACCATGGTTGAACCAGCGATACTCAAAGCAGTACAGGGAGTAGAGCAGAGACATGTGGAGGAGGCTAACCATCTGTCCAATGGCATCGATGGGGAAGAGGCTAACAATCATACCCTAGAAAACACACCACACAAGAGACATTTTATCTCATTTGCTTTAGCTTAGAGAGTAGAGATGTTGTATTTATTAAAAATTAATGCAGATCAAGTTGTGCGGCAGGAAAAGTCCTCAAAACAACTAACAACAGATCTCTTTAAAGGTTTCTGAAACAATTTCAGGAAAAAAACAATCCCATGAAGAGTGACACCATACAGCGTTTTATATTTTGAACATTCTCTGAACTGACTTGTGAGTCTAGAGATGAAATAGTTTGCCTGATGGAGAAGATGCTGCTGAAAGTCATTGTGAATGACCAAACTGTTTCTGCAAAGTGCAATTAAGCATCTTTGCACGTGGTTTATGAATGCAGGGTTCTATTTATAAAATCATTTTCCAGGACCTTTCCAATTTAGCATTTTTTTCTTGACAATACAGGACAGCACTTGCTCACAAACATTTAAAGTCATTTCTTTTTTTTAAGGACGCACAGTTCATGATGAAGTGTCTCCGGTTCATTATAGGTCATTTTGTTTTACAGATAATTCATTTTGTAGAAAGTAAAGTGTTTTGCAACATTAAAACTGGTGTGCATGTATTTATCAACCACAACAGCAAATTTAAATTTGATCATTAATAGGCTGTATGCATACTGATATGACCATCCACAGCATTTCTATTGGGCCTCTCTCGAGAACTTCACTCACAGCTCTGGAAAAAAACAGACTCAAGGCCAAAAAGATCACTGCAAGTCCGCTCATCTTCGCGTCCGTCATACCACACAGCTCATCCTACCTACAGTTGAGTTTCAAACAATATATCCACCTACGTAGGCGATCTCAGTGAGGGGCTAAAATACAATGAAACATTTCCAGGAGAACATGGATTATTTCCAGAATTCTTGGTCATTTTAATGCATTTCCAGGTTTCCATGAGTGGGAAACTAGTTTCTAAATGTCCACGTTTTCCAGGATGCATGGGAACGCTGGGAATGGCATGACTTTGTGACTCAGTCAGATAAGTGAAATCATTTTCACACTACCTGCTGTTGAGGTCAGTCACTACCTACAGTGACTGACCACAACAGCAGCTGTACTGTTACCGTTCAACTCAAACATCCAGTGTGACGACTGTGAAGAGAATCAGATACGACAGTTCTGCGTGTACGCACTATAGTGGGATTTTATAGTGCCGATACAAAGAAACGCAGACAGAGACAAAAATGTACCTGAATGAGGAAGAGTGCCTGGAGAAGGAGGTTAAAGAGCATGTCTGCGATGATCTTACTGACGCTGGGGAACGGCTGCGCTTTACAGCCAGACACTTCGAATGCTAGGTCAGCTATATCCTGCAACAGAGAATAACATATTTTACTGATATCTGCATCAGTGTAGTCAAACTATAACAACATTATGAGAAAACAGAATATCAAATTATTTTATTTAAAATATTTTATTAAAAATATTATAATAAAAAATATTATAATAAAAATATTTTAATAGGCATTTCATACTATTATTCCCTGATCCTCTCACAAAAACAACAAAACATTCAAACATTTATGTGTATACTGTTGTGTGCCTGCAGACGCATCATAACAAAATCCCTCTAGGGATGCCTCATTACTTCACACCTGATTTAATCGGGTTCAAGCAGCTGGAAGGCTTTTATTGTGAAGTCCAGTTGAATGGTGTGACTTCAGTTCACCTTACTGCTTAATAAAAGGTCATCTAAATCTACAACATATTTATCTTTCTGTTGATAAAGGATCAGTTTGTAACACAGCACGGGGAGAATAGACTTGATTACAATGTATGGCAGAGGCTGGTTTTATGAATTGCAGCCATTTTGGTAATGCAGCCCATTGTGACACCAGCTGTATTTTACTGTAACTCTTGTACAAAAACTCATATTCCACTGACAATAAAATACAACACATTATGCAGAATGTCACAAAAGCTATTGAAGTCCTGTGTAACGGGATCTGTGCATAGATTTTAAAAAGGCCACCTGTCCTGCCATAACATCATTACAGCCTAGCAAAGCAGGGCCCAACCTGGAACCAGATGGCGTTGACTATCTTGCTGAGGACGAACAGAGGGAGAACCCAGAGAGCACTGAAGACGGAGGTCAGGATGAACTCTAACCAGGACCACACACTGCCATGGAGGGATGGGTCACCTGGAGCAAAAAACAAGCTTGTTGACTGACTGTTTTTCCTGCCACAAGTCAGGGAACCTGCCCTAGATTCACTAGCATACATACCGATGATTTTTGCTGTGAGAGTCTGCAGCAGTGGGATAAACACCCGGTAGAAGAGAAACAGACTGAGCTGGAGAGAGAAAATGAAATGCTACAATCACTCTTCAACTCATGCTTCCCCACACAACAGGCTTTTTAAAATCTGGTATTTGGCTTAGATCGTTTCATGGACATTTAAAGGACAACCTGAAAAAATACACAACCAGGAAATGGAAATTAAATTGAAAAACAGGAACAGGAAAAGCTTCTGAGGCTTTGCATTTATATAACCACATTCAAGATATTTTAAGACTTCTTTGGGAACTGCAGACAGCACCCAAAGGGATTATGAAAAGAGGTCATTAAGGCCACATAACATTTCTTTAGCTGACATCTGCAAGAAGGACTTGATCCCAAAACTGTACAGAAAACTAAAAGATAGGTTTGGGACAACACGTGGCTAAAGAACAGCCATCCAGAAAACTTGCAGCTGTAATGTACTCAGTGGGGTTCAGTGGTGAGGCTGTACTGTAAAAGCAGGTTAAATATCTCACCCAGAACACTCCTCCATTCCAGGCACAGCACTGAAAAATCCTGCTGGCTACTTTGGGTTCACTGAAAGAGAAAATAAATGACAACATCCATTACTGTTGAATAATAAAAGGATAGTCTGGTTTCACTTTAATTTTACTTTCCTTACTTAGCCAGAGTCAGACACACTTGAATAGATGCTATTAACATGTTTCTGTTTCCAGAGTAAAGGTATGTATGGTAACAGTCCTTTTTAATGAGGATATATTACAGCTGCATGGATTCATGACTGAGGATGTTGTTGACCTAAGTTTAGCACTTTCAAACTCCTCCTCCTTTGCTAGCCTTGGTAGAAACACCCAACTCACCTATCTCTAATCTTAAGGTAAATATAGTGATGTGTTTGGTGGAGCTTGTAAGGAAATGCACATCATGAGAGGAAGTTCTACCTAAAAGGATCATTTCAGGTCAGTCAAGAGTTGCATTCCCAGCTTTTTTAGAAAGCTGCAAATAAATCCGACACATTAAAATATCATCCACGAGGCTCTCTGACACTGGCTAAGGAAGGAAATCAGTAGCAGCTTTTTGTTCTGGCCTACTTGTCCGGTTTGCGCTCTTCACTCTGTGCCCGTCTCTGTGCCAGGGCCCCACTGGCCCTTCTCCTCCGCTGCTCTTCCCTTTTCTGCTGGATGCGGGCATCCAGCTTGGAGATTGTTCCAATCCCCAATATGGAGTCCTTGATCCCCTAGAGAACCCAGAGTGAGTAGAATACACATAAGGTGTTTGTTTCAGACTTGTCAAAATTACTATTGTAATGGAGCTTTGAAATGTCTCAATTTCTTCAACACAAGAATTAGGCCGATGCAGGTATTTGAAGGCAGATCACAACGGGTTCTGTACACAAAGCTGTGTATAGCCAGTACTTCAGGTCAATGTTCTGTTTAATTCATATCATGACGACCACAATTCTTCCTTTTATCAAGCTGGAAAACCCTCTGAAACAGCATTTAGGCTATTTAGTAAAATGCTCCACAACACTGCCATCTTTCCTCTGCCCAACACTGTTAAATGACCACAGTGTTCAATATTACAAAATAAATAATTATGAAATAAATAATCCCTTTAACAAATTGTGTAAAATATATAAATGAANNTAAGAAATTATTAAAACTCAACTCCTTATTATTTGTGATTATAAAATGTTTCATCATAACAGACAATAATGTTATTTCGCAATAGACATTTATGTTTTAAAATGTTGCCCTGTTTGCCATTCTTCCCAACTTATAGCCTTGATTTGAACAATAATGCTTAAGTTATTCCCAATGAGGCAACTAGGTGCACATTATACACAGACACATTAACATCTTTTATAATTATTCTAAAGACAAACATTATCTTTGGACTTTTTTGAAGTACAGCCAGAAAGTACACAAAAACCTGTACATCATACATCAAACATACATCAGTCAGAGAATGTGACGGAATTTCTGTCACACTACAACAAATATACGGCAGTACAGACTTCATTAAGGTAGTATTTATTTCATTTATGACATGCAAGTGTTGCTTTTTTTGTGTTCACCCACTCTAGATCTGTATGGGATTCAAGGTTTTGTCTTTCTAGATTTAGATTGGTTAGGATACATCAGTGTGTGACAACTACAGTCTTTAATCTGCTTAGCTGAACAAACAAACAAACAAACAAACCTAAAAAATAATCTCACTGCTCACTTTAGGTACACCTGGACAATCTAATGCAATCCAATACTTATACTGGACTATATTATATTAAAAGTGTAATATTATGCCACCCTCATGTATGTTAATGAGGTCGACGTAATATTACAAAAACCCTTCAATATAGGTGTACATAATAAAGTAACCAGTAAGTGTATGTCTCTGCGTCCTCAAAATAAAGATGAATGGATCCATTAGTTTGAAAGCATGGATCTCTTTCACTGTTACTAACTATACAACCTGTGGCTCGTATCACAGCTTATGTATGAGTACTCTGTGTGTGTGTGTGTAGTGTGTGTGTGGTGTGTGTGTGTGTGTGTGTGTGTGTTCTGACCGTCGCAACATTGCGGAGGAAGGCCCTGACGCTGTCTGTCATCTCTGGACCAGCTGCAGATCCATCAACTGCAGAAGGAGGGGGGGGTGGCGACCTGGTGGTCAGCTCTCATGGCAGGGAGGGGCTTACCCAGTAACCTGCCACAACCCAAAACCAAGGAAACAAAGTGAGGGCAAGAGCTGGCAGGTGGACCACTTTGTAGAAATGTACAATAACCTTTCAGATGCAGATCGAAACAGCAGCAGACTCTCTTCGGTATGCTGGGTATATTTGCTAGAGGCACATTCTGCAGAGATTTAGCTTGCAGTATAAGATCAACGTTGTTTACTGAATTTTCCACCCATGTCAGCTTTATCCCGTAGCATTATTTATGCAATGCAATAATTACATTTTGTGCTTTAAGACATGGTTTTTATGTGCACACATGAAAATATAACTTTACAGTATTTCCTTGTTATTATTTAACATCAAAGAACAATGAAAGTTTCACATGCTTGACAAAAACACTTGAGACAGTTCAATAACAAACAGCTGTTTAGCACCTTTCCCCATACTTGGGATATTTGGTAGCCATTTTGAGCTGATTTGCATCTGATGTGACTTTAATGATGTTTGTTTTGAACAATCTCTCGTCCACCCAACACATCACTTGATAAAAAGGTTATGCTAATGTATGACAGATTCAGTCTGATAAGACACTAAAATGCGTCTTATTTGTTTGACTAATCAGTGTTTCCTTTGTCCTAAACAAAACACTATAAAAACTATATGTGGTCCTTAATTCAAAAAAGTTTAATGTAGATCACAAAGAGACAGGACCCAGATTATTTACCGACGGCGTCAATTGTATAATGTAAAAGGAGAGGTAAACAGGATCTGGTGTTATTAGCTTGTCAACCTTGTTCGCTGAAATTAGAGAAGCACAGCTAATGCTAATGTCAGTTTAATAAATGCTGCTATTGTCTCACTTGTTTATCAAACCCTTGAGTTCGTCTGCATGGTAACGTCAACTGCAAACATCTCTTATTCTAAAAAGGACTGCGTCGTTGTCAATTCTACTAAGAAAGTGAACATGAATTGAGCCAGTGTCTTTTGGTGAGACTGTTTGTGTGAGTTAACGTTAGCAAGCTGACTCAGTGGGTTAGCTCAAATAGGTGCTGCAACTAACAGACTGCTCAAACAGCTGGCTATCTCTGGCCTGCCCACAAGTCTTAACAATCTGATACGTGAAGACCCTCACTGTGTAACTAGTCTGGTCCGCATGATGCCTCTGGTCTCATAATCTGTGACTTTCGTTGGTTTGTTTGGTGCTCTGCTAGCTTCTCTCTGTGTTGCTAGCTAGCTGTAACTGTTAACGCTCAACTAATTTAACTGTTGTGTTTTCCGACAGACAACACCTCAACACGCGTCTAAAGTCAGCGACAGAGCACACAGCTAGCCGCGGTACCTTCCTTACCTCATGCGACAGGCTCAGGGTTATGTTAACTTCGTTAATTCTTTCTTTTGCCCCTTTAATGTGACA